AAATGAACAACATTTGTATATTCAGAGATTCTGGAAGTTTATGTTTCAAAGTAACTAAAGGTATTAGATTAATGTTGTGCAGCAACAAGTGTAATATTAGCCTCTAAAAGGTAATACAGGTATAAAGTATCACAAAATGGAAATGCTAAAGTACCTAAGAACAGCACTTGAGTAAATTATACTCATTATATATCACTCCTTTGACTAAAACCATTTGGTTACTGGAAGATGTTTTTTTATCCTTAATTTGCCGACAAAATGCAAAAAGAAGGTCAGATTCAATGCAAAGTTGTGAATACTGCATTCACATCATGGCAGGGCCCATTTAAGTCCAAACCATTTTATTCATTATTAACATTATTATTTAAGTCTGACTCCCTACACGTCGCTAAAACTACAGGAGATTAAATGAATTTCTAACATATTATAACAACATTATTATTTGTGTATGCATTAAAAATCAGAGATTAAACAGGCACATGTCAACTGTGACTGTATATACACACATAAACACACAAAAATACGGCAAAAATAGAATTAGAATAATTTTGGACACAGTGTGCATTTATTGTCTGAGATATTTGGTTTAAAAATGAATTTCCTTCCTTTCACAGCAGAACATGTTTGTGATTGAAATCTGCTGTCTTCAAACATGTGACAGTTGATATAAAAGATCATTTTTCTAAGATTCATTTTGATGTATGATTTGTGTATTTGGCGGGATTCCCCAGAGCTCATAGCTATTGAGTGTCAGCTGGAGATTTATGGCTCTGTGAATATAATATGGAACTTTTTAATTATCAAGTTCAAACATGAGGAAACAAAGAAAAGTAATACATAACATTCTCTCTCTCTGTCGCTCTGCCTTTTTTGGTGCAAAAATAATAAAAAACATTTACAATTTACAGGCGTTTGTCCATTATTAGTATTAGTTTGAATTCAGTGCCTGCTTTAAACTGAATTTAATCACACACAGCGAGTTCATGTTGGACCTTCATCTCATCAGTTTTCAACTGTAGAATAACTAATAATCTAAAAAAAATCATTTTAATTATATAAATGACAGGAGCGAGCAGACTCAGTGTGTTTCTTCTGCTTAAATCCACACAGAAATCCTCCTTTTAGTTGAAGGTGTGGAAACCAACAATGTGGCCGTGTTTCCATCGGCCTGCTTGTTCGGAGCTCTGTGCGTAAAGCCGCCGGCAGCCAGAGTCACCCAACAAACCCTCCGATCAACAGAGGACAAATGCAAACAACCCTCACCGAGAACACACCGATAACAGCTGGAAGCGCTGACTGGTCCGACTGGCCAAATCTACTAATCAAACAAATTGAAAGTGTCAAACCTAATGTTTGTTAATTAAGGCGTTTGCTTGTGAATTGGCTGAATCTGACATTCTCAACACCTCAACCCCAACAGCGTACAGATAGTCAGGAAATTAGGCGTCAGTTTATCTCCATCCATCGCCAGAAATGTGACTGACGAGAGATTTCTTTTGTCAGATAATATAAAGAACAATTATCCTGTTGGAGGTTAGGTGGATAAAAGTAGGGGGCCGCAGTGTCAGGAGCCCACAGACTATTTACACCGAAACACGTAATTAATATTTATTAAATAGTATTTAATATATATTTATAATATATATAAATATATATATATGTATTTTTAAAACGCTATACAAGCATTACGCACAGACTATTCTTGGCCTTTCGTTTAATTTTTCCAGTGGATTGGGCCTTCTGCAGGTTAAAATATATTGTCTGCTCTTTTTCTGGAAGCCGCATAAGACAAACACTGTGCCGCTGAAGTCTCAAGACTATATTCAATTGAAAAAACAATCACCCAAAACTACTTTTTGACCTACTTTGTACCACACAACCTATTTGTAACTATTAAATGTGATTATAAGTCTTGTCTAGGCTGCTCTCAGTTGTTCAGTCGGTCTCATGAATGATTTCCAACAAGCTTCTTGTCACAATTTACCTACAATAAACAAAAGAGAAGAAAATAAACTTTAGGTCTCATTCCATTAAAAAAAAAAAAAAACTTAAATGTATCTACAACAGCTGTATGACAAGAATTATTACAGGATATTTCTAAATTTCTCTAAACTCTAATGATTACAATAAATAGGAAAAATAAAGTTTTGAAATCTAGATTCTTTTCCGAGCTGCTACCCGTCACCCCCTGAACTCAGAGCCGGCTGCAGACAGTCGGGATGCGCTGAACTGAAGCTGAGCAACAACCTCAAACACCGAACTCTCTCTCCAAAGTGCGCAAAACTCTGAACGGCTCCCAGCTGATTGGCTACCTGAGAGTTCCCCTCATCCGCTGCCATCTGATCCTCTCTCTCTCTCTCTCTCTCTTCCTCTCCACACACACACACTCTCTCTCTCTCTGCAGCGCTCAGTCTCTCTCTCTCTCTCAGAGCGCACCGCCGCGTCTCCTCTCTGATCTCCAAACTTTGTTTTTTTTATTCGCTCTCCGGTCCGCGCTGTGGATGAACGAGCCTCTTTAACATATTCAGACCAACGTCATCTGCTGAAGGTGGATCATGCCGTGCAGCCTTTTCTATAAAACCCCCCGCAGCTCGCTCACTGCGGAGGAATAGTCACCGGTTTTGGCGGAGAAGGAGAGAAAGGAAATCTGCTTTTAAAGCTCGCGGATTCCTGTCACCGGGAGCTGGTCGGAGGTAAGTCTGCTGTTTGAGTCTCGTTCCAGACAGAAGCTCCTCTTTTTATTCCCCACTTTTTTTGCGTTCATCCCGTTTGCTTCCTCACATCTCATCTCTAGTTTACTTTGGCATGCCTGTTAATCCGCTCCACACTGAAGCCTACTGTATTCAAATCCCCCTTTCTTCTGCTGCTTTTTTAAAAACCGGATTTATTGCCATTGCTCTATAAACCTCGGGCCGCCCGGGGGGTGGCTGAGCCCCCTGAACTGTACCTATAAAGGCGCATAACCTAATAGACAAGCCGGCGCATGTAAACCTGTAAAACTATTTGGAATAGTTGACAGCTACTCCTCATTTTGAAGGAGCAGCGGAACGAAGGGGAGTTTCCTCACAGGAGAGAAGCACGTTTCTCATGTAGTTCATCCAGAGTCAAATATGAGTCTGTGCAGGCGCATCCATCCGGTCTGATGACTGTTTTATATCATTTGGAGGCGCGTCTGTCTGCGGAAACACTTTATCATATATATTTAAATAATTCAATGCTAAAAATCTTCAAATTTCATCAAAACACTGACGACTGTCTCTGATTTGGGTGGCGAGAATAATAGAGAGAAGGAAACTAATAACAAACTATAATAAAACCATTCCAGAAGTGACCACATATTAACCCAGTGCATATTTCTGAATGAATCAGGAGGCCGGGGTCCAGTCTGTCTGATTACTGTTATTATTATCCTCTAACTTGCTTTAATAACAGCTTATAGCGGCTCTCAGCCATTGGCTGCCTCCAGAGATGAGTTCAGGAAGAGTTTAGATTCACTCTTTCCCTCTTTGCTTTTTCCAGTGGAGCAGAGGGTAAACCCACCCAGACCGAGCTAACACACCTTCCTTTTTATTTGGACAGAGGGAGAAGAAGAAAAAGAAGCGGATACACTGGACGGAGAAGATTTAATCACCGTCGCCGGACAGAGTTTAGAGCCGGACACAAGCGCCTTTACGCACAGACACAGGTGGATGCTGGGAAGCGGACCAGCTCGGAGGAGATGTTACCACTGGCCCAGTTTGGGGTGCTGTCGGCCCTGGCCACCGCGCTCACCTCTGTCTTGTCCGCACTCTTGCTGCTGGCGCTGACCCGGCAGCTGTGGAGCCTCCGCTGGAGTCTGACCCGGGACAAAGAGAGCAGCCTGCCGCTGCCGAAGGGCTCCATGGGCTGGCCGCTGGTCGGAGAAACTTTCCACTGGCTGTTCCAGGTGAGAAATTCTGGATTGCTAGTTTTTACAAGCGTTCCATGTATGTAGCTCTTTATGTTGATGGATTTCTGTTCCCATGCCGCTGCACTTTTTCAATTTAAAGAAGATAAACGCCAGAGGGCTGCGGGGTGTTTTAATAATATGATTATTAATGATGTATCAGGAAGCGCGCGGGAACCTTTGAAAAGCTCCGCAGATTCTTGTGCAGGCTGAGTTCTGTTGTTAATGCGACATGTGCGGACTTGATGCCTCGTGCGTAATTCCTTCTTGTGGAGCAAAAACAGACGTTTTCTGTTCAATTCTTCCACCTCTCTCTCCCTCCCTCACTCACTGTGTGTCTCTTCAACAGTGAGGAATGCACGCTCTCATCCCCTCATCTCTCTGTCCTTCCAACTATCCATCCGCTCCACACTGGGCGCCTCGTTACCGCACACGTGATGTGTGTGGTTGGTGTTTTCTTGTTTGTTTTTTCCTCCTCTGACTTTTCACCTTATTTTTAATTCTCTACCCCCGAATGTCCCATTTCAACTAGGCAGAGTATTTCTAAAAACATTTGTATCAAGTAAAGGGGGGCTAACAGATGGAAAAGAAAAAAAACCCAAAACATCTCCACTACGGCCAGAAGTATGTGGACACTTAAGAAGTAGATCATGTGAACATAGAGTAATATTCAAAAATGCATGCACCCCGGGTCCCACCCTCACCCCCACAATGTGAAGAAATCTTGGATTAAGATAAGAAAAGATAAGATAAGAT